ATTGAGTTAGTGGTTATAAAATCAGAGCACCAAACACATTCAACTTTGAATATTCTGTTAGTTACCTTTGAGTTGGCCCCTGGCTTATGATGACATCATTCACAAAGGAATGAAACAGCTGCCCAGCCTTACACCGTCCCTATGATGGGTTGTGAATTGGATACTATGATCCATAGGGTTTTCATTGGCTGATTTTCGCAAGTACATCATTAGGCCTTCGTTTCTAGTCTGTCTTTAGTCTGGACACTGCTGAAACCTCAGCAACAGAGCAACTTGAATATTCTATATTACTAATAAGAAAAGGAGTCCTGGTGTGATGCTGTAGCATAAGCACTCAGCCATATGATTGGTTTGAACCACAAGGTCAGTAGTTGGAAGTCAGCAGCCCCTCCTAGGAAACCCTTTACAGTGTGCTTATGAGTAGGAACTGATTAGACAACACTTAACAACAAGAAACAGTACAGTTGATTCCCTGGACTTAAACTCTTGTAACAAGTATTTTTTAAATAAAAAGGTCTATTTTCATGTACTTATTAGAGGCTTTATTTGGGACCCTTAAATTCTGTGAGAGACACTAACACCAGAACATTTGGTTCCAAATAGGATAAAACTGTAGTAGAGTAGGAGTCATGTTATTATTATTAAGCACCATTGAATCTGTTCTGACACACAGTGGCCCTGCCTAGGGTTTCTGAGGCTTTTTAAAATCTTCAAGGAAGCAGAAAGTCTCATCTTTCTCCCGCAGAGTGATCGTGTAGGCCAGTTTATTGTTTATCAGTCTCCTCACTTGATCTTGTTCTGTGATAATCCACTTCTCATCACTGAAAGTTGCTATGACTGTACTTGTTGTTAAGTGCCTTCACATTGGTTCTGTACAGACTTTCCGAGGAGTGGCTGGTGACTTTGACCCATCCACCTTGCCATTCAAACGGACTTGTGTGGTTCAGTGCTTTTCCTACAGTGCCACACCAGGACTCCTTGGCAGTAGTTATTAAATTTCTAAGTAAATTTCAACTAAGAATTTGCTGGGGCAGCTTATTAGACATTTAGTTAATGTTAATTATACTCTTCTTCATGCGATAGGAATAATTTTACACACATAAACAAACCCTAAACCATTGTTTTGTTCTCAGAAACTTGATACCAGTATTACTTAGAGCAAAATAACTTAAAACGCGTGCAAGACAGAACACAAAATAGTCTGCTTGGCTACTTGTATGTCTAGAACAGAGCAATCATTTTGTCTTTAGAAAGGTCTAGTGGAAGTCTGTTTTCAGACTAGTTGGTTAACTCTAGACAGAAATTTTATTAGAGAATATTTAGACAATGAAGTGCATATATAAAAATTTGTGAAGCTGAGTCTGTAGTCAAATTTATAAGAGTATAATAGCTCCAAAGTCTAAAGCATTAAAGATACACTGTATGTTATGAGCCAAAGTGAGAGAGTATTCCATCCCCTTCCTTTTTAAAGTCTTTCGTATGCCAGTATTATTTGGAGTCGTTGTCCTTTCTTTTTGTGTCTGTTTAAAGGTCTTTCTTTCCTCTTTTTTTCTTTCTTTCTTCTTTTCATGATCATGTTAGTGGGAATAATCAAAGTTTTTCTCTAGTTTTTGCCTTTTAGAAGTACACATAAGTCATCACTTACTGTAAGCAAAAAATAGATAGCCACCCAATAAATCAGAGTAGAGCTGCCTCATAGGGGTTTCGAGGTTGTAAACCTTTACTATAGAAGCATACCACCTTACCTTTTTTGCGTGGAACGTCTGGCAGGTTTGAACCATTGACCTTTCACATAGCAGCCGAGCACTTGACCACTGCACCACCAGAGCTCCTTATCGTAAAATTACAGGAACCTTTAAATCCCAAGCCTCTTTTCAGAAATTTGAGAGGATCTTGCAGCTATAAAGAAGGTAAAACACATCATTAGCATGTGGGAGAAATGGGAGGTTAAAATGAGATATCCCCACTGTGTTAATAAAACAAGGTTAGACAAGTGTGATTTGATTGCCTGCTATGTGGTTCTTGCCGCCGCCGCCGCCGCCGCCGCCCCCCCCCCTTAAGATGAATCATTCATCACTGGCAGTGGATTGATAGATAGACTTCACTAAACCCAGCCCACTGTCACTGACTCAATTCTGACTCATAGTCACTCTATATAGAGTTTGGCATGATGCTGTAGGATAAACACTGGACTAGGAACTACAAGATTGGCAGTTCAAACCCACCAGCTGCTCCTCAGAAACCCTATACAGGGTTACTGTGAGTTAAAACTGACTCCACAGCAATTAATGTATTTATACTTATGATGTGGCGCTGTGGGCTAATGCATCAGACTGCAAAGTAGTTTCAGCTGCAAGGTTGGTGGGTCAAGTTCACCAGCTGCTCATTGGAAACCCTATACTACAAGGTCACTATGGGTTGGAATCGACTCGATGGCACTTAACAACAACAATACAAATATATTGTGTATA